GCAGTGTGGCTTCCCCATAAATTTGAAAATATATTCAACTAACACCTCTAATTTTTGTAGTGTTTACAGCAGTAATAAAACCCTCAGCAGTAATTTTACACATTGAGCACAATAAACTGAACAATCCCCAGTAAACTATTTGTTAAAATACTTACCCCTCTACTTCCAGGTTACAACTTTCAATGCTGCTTCCCTGAACTTCCAGTCCTCACAGGAACAAGTTAACAGTGGACAGTACAGTCTCCAGTCAGCCTGCTATCGTGGAGAATAGAGGAGGTGGGAGGAGCAGGGGAGTGCCTCACCATGCTATGCTATGGGTTGTGGATTTCTATGATACACACATTTGTAGGGAAACATAATTCTAGTCCCTGTATGCAAATATAGCCCCTTGTCCTAAACAGGGGTGACCAGTAGATTTTAGCTGGGCTAGGTTGTTGTTAACCTGGCTGGTTTGTCTTATGATCATTTGGGTTCACCCCTAAGTCTAGCATAGCTCTGTGGTTCCAGTAGGTGTCACCGGTACCTCTGACAGTATGATGAGTTACAGTAAAGCTGGATTAAGAATATGCATACTTCTCTCAGTCCACCAATCAGTAGAAGTTGCTATGGTAGCCTGTGCCCTAACATTCTCTCCCTGAATTTTGTCGGCGTGAGCAATAAACCCACTCTTGTTCAACCTAAAAGTGACTGGCGCCCATTTTTTCTACAACCATCCATGCCCACCATGCCTAGCAACATGCACCCTGAGATGCAATGTCAGCCCTTCCCGATGCCAGGGGGGCGCTACACAAGGATAGCTCTGTAGGATGCTGCAGGAGAAAGGAGCCGTTGTGAAACAACAAAGCTGGGGAAACTGTCATGTCACCAGCTTAAAGTGACACTAAAGTTTCATTAAAAAAAAAAAACAAACAAAAAACCCCAAAAACATATATATACATACTTACCTGCTCCGTGTAGTGGTTTTGCATAGAGCAGCCCCGATCCTCTTCTTTTCCGGTCCCCGCAGTCATTCCTGTCTTCTCCCCCTCAAGCAGTGCCCCCAAGGAAAGCTGCTCGCCCTGGGGGCACCCCTGCATGCTCGACCCCGAGCTGCTGCTCTATGCGTCCATAAGACACAAAGAGCCGTGGCTCAGCCCCGCCCCCCGCTCTCTCTTCATTATGCCAGTGAGCCAACTGGCTGTGATGGACATCAGCAAGAACCAATGAGGAGGAAGAGTCCCCAGACCCCAGAGGCTTTTGAGAACATGGCTGGATTAGAGGGGGCTCAGGTAAGGACTGGGGGAGGCTGGGGGCACTGCACACATAAGTCTTTTATCTTCATGCATAGAATGCATGAGGGTAAAAAATACTGAGCCTTTACAACCACTTTAAACTGGAATATAGGCAAAGATTAAAATATAAAGAATCTGCATACTCAGCATTGGTTGGCTGCTGAAAGTGCTTAAAATAATGAGGGCTTAATATCACTTAACCACTTGCCCTCCAGAAGACTTACCCCAAATTAAATGTACGTCCTTTTTCCCACAAATAGAGATTTCTTTTGGTGGTATTTGATAGCCTGTGTGGGTTTTAATTTTTGTGCTAGAAATAAAATATTTTTTGGAAAAAAAAATATTTATGACATTTTGCTATTAAACATGTCCAGTAAAAAAATGTAAACAATCAAATTGCATCATAAATTTAGGCCAAAATGTATTCTGTTACATGTCTTTGCTAAAAAAAAAAAAACAATACGTGAAAATTAATTGATTTACGTGAGTTATAGCGTTTAACAATGGCAGGATAGATACTGGGATTTTTTTTTTTAACTAGTAATGGCGGCGAGCTGCAACTCATAGCGGAACTGCGGTGGGCATTCTGACACTGGGGGGAACTGACTTGGTGTCACTGACATCCCCAGTGACACCAATACAGTGATCAGTGCTAATAAAAAGCACTACAGTATGATCCTCCTGAGCTCCTAAATAAACAATACTACTGAATGTGTATATGGAGGATGGATGAGGCCGCATGTCACCAATGACATTACCCTGAAGAAATCATGTGATAACAGGTTGTAACGCGTAGGAACGTGGTGACGTATTTCCGGCATGGACGCCATCTTGCTACACCTAAAAACCCATGCAAATATACAAATAGCATATGGTTTTACAGCTTGGTGTATCTTGATGAAAAGTGAGTGGGCAATTGGCTATACATGTCTTTTAAAGTATAATAAACGGATTTACACTATGGAAGATCTCTTTTATGTCTCTACCTTGATCTTAATGTCAGTTGGCTATATCACTTTTAAACATCACTGGAGGGGACCTGGCTCCTTTAAACGGATAGTGAAGGGGATATCGCCGCTTTGGATGGATATCATCCGCAGAGGGGAACCTAACTGGAGGATCCTTTTTTTGTGATCCTACAAGCAATTTGGCCTGTTTGTGTCGCTACAAGGAGGTGAGGGGGCAATTCAGCCGCTTATGGATTATTTCCCATTGGTTGTTATGCACATCCACTTTATCACTGCACGTTTAAAAAATCGTTGGATCACTTGGTGTTTATGCACCTTTGAACTTTTTATATATATATGTATATACATTTTCATATATATTTCTTGTTACTTTTTTGGCCATTTTTTATTTTTTAAATTTTTTTTGGACTTACTGCATAATATTATTCATAATTGAGTGGTGTTGATGTTTTTCATTATTATTATTTGTACAGATGTCTATGCAAATTGCACCAAAAGTAGTGCATGTACTACTTTAGAAATCGGTGCAGCTCTGAGCAAGTCGGAATCGCTCTGATATGACTGCTCTAATTGCAGACAATAGAGTGCGACTTGGCATGTGATTTGCAAGTCGCATGGCATGCAAATCGCATGCCAATTTGCATCCAGTGTGACCGAGGACTTAAGGCAACTTTCAAATCTAGGCATTCTGAAAATATAGGAAGATGTTAGGTGTTTTGCAAATACAACAAACCGCACATCTCACATTATTTCTTAATTATTATACAGGATTTATATAGCGCCAACAGTTTGCTCAGCGCTTTACAATATAAAAGGGAGACAATACAGTTCAATACACGAGAGTTATGCAGGCCATAGACGGGTCGTTTATCGGCCAATTTTCTGTCCGCACAAAAAAATTGTCTGATATTCACGCCGTTAGTGGGGCCAGCCTGTCGGCTGTTTTTCGTGGATCTTCTCATTTAGTTTTATCGGTCATGCTGGAAAATCCGTGAAAAATGGACATTTTTCGTGGACATTGGGGCCGACCGATTTTTCGTTTATCAGCCGAAAATTCGTCCCGTCTATGGCCGTGCTCCTTGGAGCTTACAATATAAGAGGGAGGGGCTGGTGGTACTAAAGGTAATAACTGTGGGGGATGAACTGACGGAAGAAATAGAAGATTCCGTTATTAGCTGAAGGCAGAATAGGAAGAGACAGCTCTTCAGAGATCACCTAAGGATTCGCTCGCACCAATGTGTTTATTTAGTGCTTTTTGCAGAGATGCAGTACAGTCCATTTAACATGGTTTCCTATGGAACATGTTCACATCTATGCTTTTTTGAGCTGCTGCGTTTTTGGAAAGGGTCAGGGACTTTTTTAAAAGCAAAAAGCAGTGTTTTTGCTACAATAGAATTCAATGGAGAATCTGCTGAAATGCATGACAGTGTGTTTTTGCCTTGATTTGTGTTTGCATTATCATTCTGCTCAGTGAAAAAAAAAAAATTCCAATAAGTTGCTTTGTGGTTTTGGTGGGTAAAAATGGGCGTATCTTAATGGCACCCCGAATGCGGGTAGCAGTTCCATGTATTATTGCGTGAAAAAAAGGGAAAATGCACTTAGCCCAGGGCCAAAAAATGTACATGAGCCACTTTGGCATGGATGTCATGTATAAGAGCAGCACGAAAAACAAAGAAACCCATACATTGCACAAGTGTGAGTGGAAACGGATGGCTCTTTCCCTAGAATCCCGGTGTTGCAGCAAGATCTGTCCCCCGTGAAGATCTGCCCCCCTTCACACAACTGAGCATGTGCCAGTTTCAGGCATAAGCAGACGATCGGCGATCTCGCTCTGTTACACTGTTAACCCCTTTTATGCTGGATTGCAATTACACTAACCGCTGAATCACATCCCTCGGAACACTGCCGCTGACGATCCTACCGCAACATGTCGCCAAGCTGCGGGGGTTGTGACATGGCGAGTACACTCACATGTGGGGGGATCAGTGACATGGGGGGGTCATAACATGTTTTTGGTGGTGCAGTTACACGTGGGGGCCAGTCACATGGGGGTGGGGATTTGCGTCAAGTGAGGCAGATGTTCATGGGGGACTGAGGGGGGTGTGTGTGTGTTTGCGTCAAGGGGGGGGGGACAGATCTTGCTGCAACACCGGTGTAGAGGTAATCTGTGTATCCCACAAATAGGGGCTGTTACATGCCAAATTCTCTGCAGCGACATCGGACAGTGTCAGTGACATGGGGGGAGGGGTGTCACAGTGACATGAAGGGATGGTGTCAGTGACATACGGTGGGGGGGATGAGTGTCAGAGACATGGGGGGGAGCAGTCTGCAGCAGCATCGGACAGTGACATGGGGAGGGGAGCAGTGTCAGTGATATGAAGGGATGGTGTGGGGGGGGGGGGGGGGGGGGGGGAGGTGAGAACAGTCTGCAGCAATATATGGCAATATCAGACAGTGTCAGTGACATTGGGGGGGATGGTGTCAGTGACATGGGGGGGGGGGGGAGCAGTCTGCAGCAACATCAGACAGTTTCAGTGACGGGGGGGGGGGGGTTACAGTCTGCAGCGTCATCTGGTAGCATCAGACAGTGTCAGTGACATGGGGGGGGACAACGTCAGTGACATGGGGGGGGGACAACGTCAGTGACACGGGGGGTAGCGGTGTCGGTGACATGGGGGGGGGCAGTGGCAGTGATATGGAGGTTGCAGTGTCAGTGTAGTGACATGGGGGGGGGGCAGTGTCAGTGACATGGGGATGACAGTGTGAGTGACACTGCCCCCCCAATGTCACTGTCCCCCCCATGTCACTGTCCTCCCCATGTCATGACCCCCCCCACATGTCACTGCCCGCACATTTTATGGCCCTCTATGTCACTGTCCTCCCCATGTCACTGACCCCCCCACATGTCACTTTCCTCCCTATGTCACTGCCCCCCCCCCATGTCACTGTCCTCCCCATGTCAGGCCCCACACATGTCCCTAACCTCCCACATGTCACTGCCCGCCCAATGTCAGCCCCCCCCCCCCATATCACTCATCCCCCCATGTCAGTGCTCCCCCATGTCACTGTCCTCTCCCATGTCACGGCCCCCCCATGTCACCGTCCTCTCCATGTCAGTGCCTCCACTCATGTCACAGCCCCCCCACGTCACTGTCCTCCCCATGTCACTACCCACATGTCACTGCCCCCCAACATGTGACTGTCCTCCCATGTCACTGCCCCCAAACATGTCACTGCCCCCCCCCCCCACATGTCACTGTCTTCCCATGTCACTGCCCCCCCCCCCACATGTCACTGTCCTCCCCATCTCACTGCTCCCCACGTCACTGTCCTCCCATCTCACTAACGTCACCCCCCATGTCACTGCCCCCCCACATGTCATTTGACAGTCCTCCCCATGTCATTGGCCCCCCCCCCCCATGTCACTGTCCTCTCTCTGATCCATTATGCTCTCCCCATACACAGCTTCGATCCATCTTGCGGGAGCGTCGGCGGCTAGTGATCCGTGGAATCAGCTTCAGCGGTGCAGCCTGTAAGGGGTTAACTGTGGCAGTTCTGTGCTAAAGTTGGCGATCGGCTTCTTCTGTCTGAAACCGGAACATGCGCAGTTGCTTCAGGGGAGACATTTTCTTCATGGGATACACGTCTTGCCGCTGCTTCTACACAAGGACCCCCCCCCCCCCCCCCCACAGTGGCAGGGTGGACTGGCCATAGAGGGATTACTTTGACACAGTTGGCCAGCTTAAGCATGTATTGCAATATGTGTGAACTAAATATCCCTATTTATTGCATAGTCTGCTTGAAGGGGTATATACCAGTGTGCAGAGGGGTCCTTCAGAATTTCTAGTGTTAGTAGAATAGCAGGCACACAGTGGCACTGGTACAGGGACAGGGAGGGGTCGTTAGTAGGATAGCAGGCACACAGTGGCGGGGTACAGGGAGGGGTCGTTAGGATAGCAGGCACACAGTGGAGGGGTACAGGGAGGGGTAGTTAGTAGGATAGCAGTCACTCGGGGTACAGGGAGGGATGTCTGCAGGATAGCAGGCACACAGTGGCAGGGTACAGGGAGGGGTAGTTAGTAGGATAGCAGGCACACAGTGGCAGGGTACAGGTACAGGAGGGGTAGTTAGTAGGATAGCAGGCACACAGTGGCGGGGTACAGGGAGGGGTCGTTAGGATAGCAGGCACACAGTGGCGGGGTACAGGGAGGGGTCGTTAGGATAGCAGGCACACAGTGGAGGGGTACAGGGAGGGGTAGTTAGTAGGATAGCAGTCACACGGGGGGGTACAGGGAGGGATGTCTGTAGGATAGCAGGCACACAGTGGCAGGGTACAGGGAGGGGTAGTTAGGATAGCAGGCACACAGTGGCAGGGTACAGGGAGGGGTAGTTAGTAGGATAGCAGGCACTCGGGAGTACAGGGAGGGGTAGTTAGTAGGATAGCAGGCACACAGTGGCAGGGTACAGGGAGGGGTAGTTAGTAGGATAGCAGGCACAAGTGGCGGGGGTACAGGGAGGGGTAGTTAGTAGGGTAGCAGGCACACAGTGGCGGGTACAGGGAGGGGTAGTTAGTAGGAGTAGCAGGCACAAAGTGGCGGGGTACAGGGGAGGGGTCATTAGTAGGATAGCAGGCACACAGTGGCGGGGTACAGGGAGGGGTCGTTAGGATAGCAGGCACACAGTGGCGGGGTACAGGGAGGGGTCATTAGTAGGATAGCAGGCACACAGTGGCGGGGTACAGGGAGGGGTCGTTAGGATAGCAGGCACACAGTGGAGGGGTACAGGGAGGGGTAGTTAGTAGGATAGCAGTCACTCGGGGTACAGGGAGGGATGTCTGTAGGATAGCAGGCACACAGTGGCAGGGTACAGGGAGGGGTAGTAGTTAGTAGGATAGCAGGCACACAGTGGCAGGGTACAGGGAGGGGTAGTTAGTAGGATAGCAGGCACACAGTGGCAGGGTACAGGGAGGGGTAGTTAGTAGGATAGCAGGCACTCGGGGTACAGGGAGGGGTAGTTAGTAGGGGGGTAGCAGGCCCACAGTGGCGGGGTACAGGGAGGGGTAGTTAGTAGGGTAGCAGGCCCATAGCAGGCGTACAGGGAGGGGTAGTTTGGTAGGGATAGCAGGCACACATTGGAGGGGTAGTTAGTAGGATAGCAGGCACACATTGGAGGGGTAGTTAGTAGGATAGCAGGCACACAGTGGCGCGTAGGATAGCAGGCACACTGGGAGGGGGGTAGTTATAGGATAGGATGTTAGGATGCCCAGATGGAGAGGGGCTCACCCTACAGGCACAGGACCCTGTAAGATAATTTGGGACTTCTCCTGTCCCCTGAGAGAGGCCCACCTGTACAGCAGGGAAGGAGCGGCCCAGCTAGAAGGCCTGGTAGCAGTCACCGGCAGCACAGGAAGGGACCAAGTGAAGAAGCCTGCACCCTGCCAGTAAGGGAAGAGGAGCCCTCTGGAGGGAAGCTGGATTTGTTCTCTTACCCGGGACTGTACACTCTGCAGTGACAAGCATTGGATTCCCTGCCCAGTGATGCTCCCAGTACATGTGGATGAGGAGAGGAGTCCTCAGGGGCGGTCCTCGTGGACGCTGGCTAGCTCTCCAGAAGAGACATTTTGCTGTATAGACTTGTACATCATTGCTAAGGAATTTGCCTTCTGTTGCTGTTCCCTCGGCCATCCTATACGCCCCTCACCCCCATCCAAGTTCTAAACCCTCTAATAAAACTTCAAAACGAAGCTCAAGGACTGGTCACTGCCTCCTGATGCAAGTCCGAATGGAAAATGTGTGTTGCCTGGCTGTGCAGGACTATAGGGGGACCCAAATCTATTGCAACTCCTAAGAGGGTAGTGCTACATTATGTACAAGTCAGAATGTTGAAGCCCAATGCTGGGTATGAGCTGAAGAGAAGGACCTTTGTTCTATGTGTGGAAGCAGTGGTCTCTCTGCAATGGTCCAACACACAGGGCCCCTGCTGTGTCAGATACTGTATATGGCTCTGCAATCAGTGAAGCATGAGTGTCCTGCTGATTGGAGAGTACTGGTTCTGACTCAGCAGGGGGTGTGTCACACCCCAGGAGAGAGACCACTGCTTCCACACACAGAGCAAAGGTCCTTTTATAGGACTGCTACTCCACTCAGGCCGTGGCTGCTTTGAAAGGAAATGGAACTGTAAGATTTTGCACACTTGTTTCTATGAATGTACTTTCCATCTTTTTAAACTGAATGTTCAGAACAGTGTGTGCGTTTGGGGACCCGCAACCACATGTCATATAGGGCCACAGCAGCTGTGTCCATGCAGCCGCGTGTCCCAATAGACTAAAATGGGACGCTGGCATGGGGATGGATGCAACACCTGTGCACCCTCATGCCTGTAAAAGACGGGACATTGAGTAATTTACCTAAACCCCGGTCACATCGGGTGCGAGTTGCATGCCAGGCGACTTGCAAATCGTAGGCCAAGTCACAGCCTATTGTCTGCTATTAGAGCGGTCATATAGGTGCGGTTCTGACTTGGTCAGAGACGTACCGATTTCTACAGTACTACATGCACTACTTTTGGTGCGATTTACATTTGTGTCAGACGTCTTGCAAATCGCAAAGAAATCAGCAGGTCACCCGACTTTGAAACCGTGCGACTTCACTGTAAGTCGCACAAATTCAAAATCTGCTTTTATGTGACCGGGGGGGGGGGGGGGGGGTAAGGCCCTTTTCCACTAATGCACTTTTTCTGTGCTAAAACGCATCTCTCCAGCACAACAAAAGCACATGAAAATTATTCCCCTTTAACCACTTCAAGTCCGGACACTTTCACCCCCTTCCTGTCCAGGCCAATTTTCAGCTTTCAGCGCTATCACACTTTGAAATGACAATTGCGCAGTCATGCAACTCTATACCCATATGAATTTTTTTTGAGAGACATAAAACTTTATTTTGGTGGTATTTATTCATCATCACTGGGATTTTTTTTTTTTTTTTTATATATATATAAATGAAAAAAAAGTCCAAAAATTTTGAAAAAAAAAAGTTTTTTCTTATAAAAAATTTTGCAAATAATCTTTCTTTGTAAATCTTGGCCAAAATATATTCATCTATCTTTTTAGTTAAAAAAATAATCCAAATTAGTTTATAACCAAAAATTATATTTTTTATTATTATTTTTTTTTTACATTTTTATTTTTTTTATATTTTTATGGAGGTTTTTTTTAACATACTGTCACCCTAGCAGTACAGTGTCACCATAGTGACACAGTACTACTTGTGGGGGGGTGATGAAGATTTTTTTTTTTTTACACTGATTGCTTTTACAGCCAAAAAGGCTATAAAAGCAATAATTTCTCCTTCTCTCTGGCTGCATTCTTGCAGCCATTGATAAATACTGTGAGAGCTGTGATTGGTCACAGCTTGGCACATGGTAAAAGGCTGTTGTGAATAGCCCTGTAGTGATCTCTGTGATCATTCACAGATTTCACTAGTAGTAAGCAATGATGTCAAAAAGTGACATCTTGCTTACTACTATTCATGTGATCACTGATTGGCCAATCAGTGATCACATGATCGGGACCTCACACAGAGGTCCCGTAAAGCGATCAGTGTTCTGGATCGCGGTGCCTCGCGTTTCCCAGGGAGAGCACACAGGCTTAAATGGTGGGTGCCGTTTATGAACGGCCACCCGCCCCTGCACTGCCACCGTCCGGCCGTTTATATACATGGGCCGGACGGGAAGTGGTTACATCGTATGTAGCTGTTCACATTAGTGTGCTGCATTTGTGCTTCGGTTTGAAAAGTCCTGCACCTTCCATAGAATTCAATGGTAACACAACAAAAAACATTGAAAATGCACTGCGTTTTTGGGGTCACATGTTCAGGCTTCATGGGTGCATTGCTGGGAGTCAGGAAATCCTGTTTTGTGCAGTGAAGAGAGAGAAAGCCATGAGCCAGCACAGGACCATGGAGCGCGGCACAGCCAGTCACCGTAACATTGAGCATGGGGAGTATGAGTACTGAGCATGGGCACCCCGAGCGCTACAATACATTCTTTCATCATTCTATGTAATATTGTGCCTAGGTACGTCCCTTCCAAGTTTGCCAGTAGTCACATGTATATGCTGAAGCTTTTTTCAAGTGTCTCATTCTTGTAATTGCATTTGCTTTTAATTTGCATTTGCACTGCACTTTGACCTCTGTACATCTTGCATTGATTGCATTTGCTGTGCCAGTGTA